CTCCTCTGATGTGCACAGGCACTAAGTCTCTGCTTCCCTCTTCCTTCCCCCACCTATAGGGGCCTCTGTGACAGCTTAGTTCCTTATAATTTCCTCCTTTTAAATTTTACTATTGAATGGTCATGGAAATGTTACCGTGTTGATATGTCCAAATTGATTGCACTTATTTGACAACTACATGGTATTCCATTTATAGGTGTCCCCTCATTTATTGAACTTTCCTCTTGTGGGTGGCATTTATATTTTTTGCACTGTTTCTATTTCATGTAAACCCTTGCAATAAAGATCCCTGCAAGTATATCTTGGAAAATCTTTTTTTATGGTAAATTCCCAGCAGAATTGCTTTGTATGTTTACAATTTTGATAAGACACTGACAGATTTCCCAGAAATGTTTTACTGTGTTACTCTTCCGTCTGCTGAGTGAGAACAACTATTTTCCTACACTTTGGCTAAGGCTGGTAATTTTTCTTATTGATGTTAAAAGCATACATCTACTTTGAAACCTTAACTAAATATTTGTTTTAGGAAGGCCCCTCATAACCCTAACTGGTTTGGCTCAGTGGATAGAGTGTCGGCCTGCGGACTCAAGGGTCCCGGGTTCGATTCCGGTCAGAGGCATGTGCCTTGGTTGCGGGCACATACCCAATGGGGAGTGTGCAGGAGGCAGCTGATCGGTGTTTCTCTCTCATCGATGTTTCTGACTCTCTATCCCTCTCCCTTCCTCTCTGTAAAAAAATCAGTAATATATATATATATATATATGGCCCCTCATAAAGGAAACCCTAAATTTCAAGAACTTCAGTTATGAAAAAGCTTTGTCTACACTTTTACTTGTAAAAGGATTTCTCAGTAGGTTTCCTCTTTTTTTTTTTTTGCCTTAAAGTTTTAAGTGTTTTATATATAGTTACAAGTGCACATAATTAAGTCACTGAATGTTGCCTGTTTTTTCCTTTTAGAATAGTGGAATTGAAATACTGAATTGTTTTTCCAATATAAAAGAGAATTTTCAGAAATTTCATAAGAAAGCATGATGTCTGTCCTGTATGATCTATTTGATATGTTAATTGGGAAACATTTCATTTGGAAATTAGTTACGACAGAAGGAAAGAGTAATATAAATAATTTTGGAATTAAATGAGCAGTCATAAAGAAATGAAGTGCTTCCTTTCAGGAATACTATTCTTTGGTCAGTTTCCCCCTTATTTTGCTTCTGATTTTTTTTTTTCACAGATAGGATTCTATTTTATTTGTCACCATTGAAAGTCTAAATTTGAAACAGATTCTTGGATTTGGGGCTCCTATCCATCAGCTTGTTCAACTTTAAATATATTTTATTGATTTTTTACAGAGAGAAAGGGAGAGGGATAGAGAGTTAGAAACATCGATGAGAGAGAAACATCGATCAGCTGCCTCCTGCACACCCCCTACTGGGGATGTGCCCGCAACCAAGGTACATGCCCCTGATCAGATTCAAACCCAGGACCTTTCAGTCCGCAGGCCGACGCTCTATGCACTGAGCCAAACCAGTTAGGGCAGCTTGTTCAACTTTAGCACCTGACTTATCCCTAGTAGTTTTATCGGAGCTGTGACCTTCACCATGAAACTCCATGAGTTTTCCCAGTTCAAACTTGGGCTTCTTCAGCATTTTTACTTTTCTGACAAAGACATCATGGAGTGGATAAATAGGGTGGAAAACCTTTCCTCTCTTTTCCAATGCCGTCTGGAATAAACTTATTGATCAATTTTATGACGTCATTTGTCTGTACTTCTCAGGTCATGATTTCCATCATCATCTTCTGGATTTGGTGGACCTGTTGATGCTGAGCACAGGAGGTCTTCCGAATCTGATTGTTGTGATTTTTTAGTTAAACCAACATAGAGTAGATGAAGCAAATAACCATTGGTATTATGACATCAACATGAGCTTCAGTCATGCTTTTTCATTTTGTCACGGGTAAGATCCATGCTGTGGAAATCAGTGGTTTTGTCCTGCACATTTAGTAATTAGCTTGAATTTTCTAACTGCAGTGTCATCATTCTGCAGATCAGTTTGGCTCACTTCAAAACCACGACCCTTGAGACCATCAGATGTGATTTTGGTTCCTTGACTCGTTTTTGTGACATTTCTTATATTGAACACAGCTGGTGCTTCTACATGACACTGATCTTTCTTAGAAAAGGGATCACCCATTTTCTTGGCACCCTTTTAGTCGCATAGTGACCTGTGCACCTGGCTTCCCCTGTGTTTGCCCCTGACGCCTTTTGTTTAATTATTGCCAACTACCATGGTGCTGCTCAGAGAGCCAAAAGCTGCTTCTGATTTTTTTAGTAAGAAGCACTATCACCTATTAACTGGCAAAATCTAGAGCTTCATCAGATCATTGAACAAAGTTGGGCACATGAGTGCAGCTATTAACTACAATTTTCTCTGTAAAAACTAACCAATTTGTTTAGAGCTAGAACTTGTAGCCCTGACCTCATTAGCACCACACCTTAGAAACCTTTGAACTTAAAAAGAAGCAGCGCTATCACTGTATATAGCAATTTAAAATATATCCGTGTTTATATTTTGGTAGGTGAACAACAATTTCTTTAGAAAGCACACACTACAATGTTATAAAAGAGAAATGTTCCAGTCACATAAAATTTAAGCACTTTTAGAACTATTCAAATTCTGATAGCTGACTTCCTACATAAATTCCTTCTCTGTAGATTATAGTCCAGGGAAGGCATAGAGAAGTCATTTCTAATCTTGTTTTGTTTCATCTCTGTTCCTTAAATAACTGGGAATTATAGTTTATTGACTGTTTAATGAGAACCTGTATGCAAGGCTCTCTGAGGCCTTTATGGGCAGAAAGCCTGCAATTTCTGACTCAAAAGAACTTGCACACACCCAGCAAATACCATGGCGCATTACACATGTTTGTAGTCAGAATGGGTTTAAGATTGAGATTATTTTTTCCTCATCTCTAAAATATGACCTTTGTGAAATTTAAAAGTAGTTAAGCAAGCAGAAGAAACAAAAATTTCCCATAATCCTAGCAATAGAACTGCTTTTAAAATGTTGGCATGCATGACCTAATTTCCATTTAAAAATAAATGTTTAGGTTTTGGTTTTGCATGTACTCACCATACAGCTGCGCTTACTTCACTTGTCTGCGTGTAACTTTCTTCAGACCTGTCATTCCAGGTGATTGTGACGGCTTTAACATGAGTATTAAGCCCTGGATGGTTTTGCTCAGTATCTTTACAATTTCCATAGAGCGTTGGCCTTTGGACTGAAGGGTCTTGTGCTCGATTCCGCTCAAGGATATGTACCTTGATTATAGGCTCCATCCCCGGCCCTGGGTCGGGCCGTGTGGAGGCAACCAATCGACGTGTATCTCTCACATTGATGTTTCTTTCTGTTTCTCCGCCTCCCTTCCACCCTTTCTAAAAGTCAATGGGAAAAATATCCTCAGTGAGGATTAACAAAAGAGAGTATTGAGTTCTTTAATATAAATCTAAAAGTAATGCACACAAAATTATAATCAGCAATGCAACAAAGGACAAAGAAGAAAAGAAACTGTAGTCCTGCAGCCAGGGGGAAGTTATTGGTAAATTCTGGTGCTGGTGCCGGTGCTGTCTGCCACGGACACGTCTCCTTTTACGAATCTGCTTCATTGCCCTTTGCTTCCAGCCTGAGGTGCTTCACGCTGCCAAGGGGCATGGAGTTGTCTTTTCTGTGGTGACAGGAACCAGCTGTGTGGCTCTGGA